CCACCGGGGATTTCGAGTATACATGGGACTGAACCTCAGTCGGGGATTATTACACCCACTTATGGGGTTTGTGATCATTTCAAGCCTGATAGTCTGCCTCCAGAACCTCTACAATTCTCTCTGATTTGTTACGAAGTGGAACCCAGCTTCTAAAGGAAGTGATTTGTTACGGTGTTCAAAGAGAGTAAATTGAACAGTATGTTGTTCTAAGGTTTTTATTCAATCGATCAGGTGTCAGTACTTACAGTGAGATAAAATTTAAACGCAAACGCCATTTTTGTCCCCACCGTGCTATGAACAACTATAGCGCTAGTAGAGGTGGGTAGTAGTAGTAGTAGTAGTAGTAGTAGTAGTAGTAGTAGTATGAAATACACAATGCCATTTTAGAAAGTGGTCGAATGTCACATATGTTACAGTAGTAGTAGTAGCAACCGCAGCAGCAGTGGCGGTGGTGTCGGCGGCAGCAAGAGTAGTAGTTGTAGTAGTAATTGATTTTGTTATAACCCGCGAATATCTTCAGAAACACAAGAGTCGATATCATTCACTGGATTGTCAGGTCTAGGCTCCATTATCTACTGACCGGCGAGATAGAGCTGGAATATTCTGGTGTGCAGCGTTTGTATATAATTAGCAAGAAACAAAAGTTATTTTGTAATAAATCTATTCTCACCCAAAGCAACATATTAAACAAGGGAGATAGTTCATTGCATATATGACTTTTTTCATAAAAATAAATATTGTATAATGCGTGTAATCTCAATGGAGAAGGCGGAAAACGTCTTTAATTTAGAACGTCCGATGTCCTTATCGCCCTCGATCACCATGCTATATTCTTAAGTTACAACACTTAGTTTTGAAAGGGACATATATTAAAATGGACATGAATGCACGTCTAGGTTACTCAACATTGTAGATTGAACATTTTCATTAAGATTGTATGATAATAAATAGCCAGAGACAACTAGCCGAGCAATCCTTTTGACGCGTTTGCTTCCCGATCTCACTGACAGTTAAGAAACACACGTACAATCGCAAGTATTACTTTGTTAATTAAGCTTGAGGAGAAAGCAAACGTGATGCGGGTCTCAGACGTTTAATACTTTCCTAAGACTGTTTGATTGTGGAAACTTTTAAACATAATCGGAACGAACCATGATTAGCACCTGAAGTAATACATTTCAAAGGGACGCAACTCTGTACAGCGCATTGCCTCTAAGACGAGCGTCCTTGTGCCTTCGACACAGTTGAGGAGAGCGAAGATTGCAGACTTACAACAGCCCACTTGAGAAAAGATGTTTGTAAAGGAATGAATCTTATTTAATAATTTTTCATGTTTGTAACAGAATAAATTTTAAAAATTTAGTTTCTGCATTCATACCATGGATACGGGCACACTTACTGTACGTTTGTACTGTATCATACGCTCTGTGTGATCGAGCGGCGTAAAACTCAACTCACTCACTCTGCGTGATCGATAAACATAAACACTAATCAACAAAGGACGATGTATGACTTTTGGTTCCATACATCAGATCTGCGGCCAGACTTCTGATTGAACGTACGCGTCGGACGCCTCTCCACGTGATTCATTGTGTCAAAGCTCATGGGTACGGATACATGATGAATTCACGCCTTGCTTCATTTGTCTTTGTTTTTCGTTAGGTTATGTTTGGGTTTACATTTCCAGTACTTTTTGGATCGAGTTCCATCCCGAATGGCTTTGTGTTTCCATAACCTAACAAAGGTTTTAAAGTTTGTAATTCGCATTTCGGTAGGAGCGTTTGTGATCGTTCATCAGTATAGGTGGTAATGTCACTGTAAAGTACAACGGCGATTCGTAAATAATTCAGTCGACCGGACAATCCAGTGACTGGTATCGATCTTCACAACAGGGATGTAATGACTCACAGGAACAAGTCAGCGAGTCTGACCATCCGATCCCGTTTGTAGCTGGTTACAAGAAGACCAATTCTAACCAGGATCGTCACAGAGGCAGTACAGTGTAAGGTGAATTCTAAAATGCTTTGCTAAAAGATCAAAGGCGCCAACAGTACTTTATCAGACTTTATTAGTACACGTTTTGCATTACGTCACTGTATAGAAGTCACTCGTGACCTTCCTGTGGTATCTGTATCCTGTAATACCATAGGAAGGACACTCGTTTCGTATAATTCGTATGTAATGAGACATCGTGTAATATTCTCTATTTATTACACTATACGTAGGGGTAGAGCGAACTGTATTTCTTAATAATATGTTGGCTACCAGATCTGTTGATAATACGGGTTCTTTTGTCGGTCGCTTTATGTACTTGTTTGCCCCTTCATCCGAAAACACTTCAGGTATTGCCATAAAAAAGAGTACGTGTTAACCTTACGAACATGTCCGGTTCCCTCCCCTTTCTTGAATATTAACCGAGCAAGGCAAAGTACAAGTACACGTAGTGAGGATGTGTTTTTGTTAGTTATGATATCACATTCATTAACTTTTGGTTGTCACGGGTGACAAAAGTTGAATGTGGATTTGAACTCGCATCTTAGGTTACACAACACCAAATGTTTTCCCATAGACTTCTATAGTAACCTGATAATTTAAAACAAAATAGACAGGCTATCAACAGCCATTCCATGTACACATGGGTACACTCTGGCCTTTAAACTACCATAAAACACAATATCTGGCCAACTTGTCCTTCTCGTTTTGCGAGCACAGGAAGCGGAACACATCAACCCCAGTTCCGCACCAAATGTCACCTACTGGAAAATATCTGTACACACAATAAGCGTAAGTGATGGTGATAAAAATGACAGCACCAAATACTTAAAATTGTGGTCAGTTTTAATTACTGGTTGGATGTGCTTTTAAAAAACAAACATCTTACACTATTTCATCCAATCACAGCTGTCACATGTCTCTGTCTCTCTTGACTTGTTTACATACGGGTCTCGCGCAGGGAGCATGTGATACTGATTTAGTGTAGTGGAACCTCTTAGGCTATGTAATTTCACCTGTTATGTGGGACGATGTGTTGTCTCTCTTTGTTTATTTGCTTCCGGTTTTACGGTAGGATACTGTAAGCTATGATAGGATTGTGGTGTGGCATATATTTTGCTTGAATTCTCCTGAACTGTATAATAAGTATGAAGAGGGACTACTTTGGATTTACACTCATCTGTCTGCTAACACTGACATTTCAAGACCGAAACGAGACGTTTCAAGAGGCCTCGTCTACATTGAACTTTCAACAGCTGTCAACAAACTTCAATCAGTATATCTACAAGGATCAAGACGTTGGTGACTATAGACATTTAGTTAATACTTTAGATTTGTGACCCAATGTTATTGCATTAGAATTCTGTAATGTCATTCATTGTAACCCTGTTCATCTTATATTCAATATATAATTGAATATTATAGACTCGCTTGTGTATTATTTTGCTGGTTCAAAGGGGACTCACAAGCCCTAAATCACAGTAATTCCTAAACCGTACCAGTGCAAATCAATGGCTGTGGTTAGGAGTGAGTATAATAATCGTTAAATGTGTACTCTTGTTATGAAGGCTGTTGTCCCAACAACAGTGAGTGAGTGCGTTGGGTTTTACGCCGCTTTTAGCAATATTCCAGCAATATCACGGCAGGGGATACCAGAAATGGGTTTCACACATTGTACCCATGTGGGGAATCGAACCCGGGTCTTTGGCGTGACGAGCGAACGCTTTAACCACTAGGCTACCCCACAGTCCCATCTGACATTAGAAGCATATTTATCAGAGCTGACGGAGGGTCCAGCCAATTGATAAGAAAGGGGTGTGGTGTAAATTCAACCTTTTCCACGATGCGTTTTCTACAGACATTAACTGCAAGAACGGATGTAAAGAAACCGCTGTAACACGAATCAGTCGAAAATATCACTATGCTGTTATATGTAGTCTTTAGGGACAAGCGAAGTATCCATATAAGACAAGGATTTGAAGATTTTCTTCTATACCTTAAACAATGTTTCCCTTAAAATAGTATTTTGAGTACATCTACATGCATCTCTTGTGTCAGTTACTGGATTGTCTGGTCCAGGCTCAAATGTTAACTGGTCGCACAGCTACTCTATATCTGTATGATCAATTGATTTATTATTTTTTAAATGTCACTGAATAATTAAATTTAAAATGATTAAGTGATATAATAAAAAAATATTATTTCACTCATGAAGCTTTGGATATTCTCATTTGACTTCTTCTAAAATGGCATCGGTTTTATTAACAGCAAAAACCGAATTTGTGATAACGCTGAATGAAGTACCTGAACTGGGCCCTTATTCTCGAAACGTTCGTAGCCCTAAGTATTCTCAACTTTGATCGTAGCCAATTTGTTAAGAATGGGATTAAGAAGTTCGTAGGACTACGAACGTTTCGAGAATAGCTAGCCTGATCTCTATGTACACTCCGGACGCGTTCTGCAGCATTAGAGGTCCATGTTTACATCATTATGTACAATGTATGTGTTATTCATGCATGCATGACACATAAAAGGGTAATATATACATATCGCTTGGTTGCAAGACTAATGAATGTCTGTGCATACATTTAACCAGTTAAAAGAACAATGTTGCACTCATGCGTTGTTGATATACTATTTCCTTTCTCTGGCCAAGGTAGGGTAAATAAACAAAAAGTGAAAATCATCTCCAAAACAGTACATCATATTCCATTTTCGGGTGTTTTAATCCCCCGTCCTGATTCAACTGGTAGGTAATGGTCTGTGGTTCTTAAATTAAGTAACGCCCTCCCATTTAGATAGGTTTTATATTTCAGTTAAAGTTTTTTTAAATATTATAAATAGCTCCTCTTGAAGATTTTGTGTGTTTGATATCCAAGTCTGCAGATTGATTTCTTTCAGTCTGTTTAAGCAAGTGATTTAGAAATATTTTTAGTAGGACATGCTTGAGCTGTCCAAATATAACTCATTCCAAGTCTGTCAAAAATGTCCTTAATACAGGCAATCCATTAATAGCCAGATGTGCCAGAAAATTTAGAAGCCTTTCCTGAAATGAGTTTTCACAAAAAAGTGATTTAATTTCAATTTTCCGTAGATATCTCCCCAGTTCCCATAAACCATGAATGAAGGGGTGTTTCTTGAATGAGAGGAGGTCCTATAGAAAAGTTAAAGAACGACTCAATCTTTGTTTTTTGTACTCTTTTAACCATTACAAATGAAAGACTTGTGGTTAGTCTTAAGCGGAACACGAAATTCATTGTTAATAAAACCTGTGGTTAATTAATACCGAGCGATTAAGTTGCCAAAAATCGTCTACTTCTCTCTCGCCCGCCAACGAAACCACAGGTTACGTAACTCTTTCGCCAGAATATTTTCCACCCAAGAATTATTGCCCAAACCGCATAATTCACACCCATAAAGAAGAACAGGGGCAACCAAGCAATCGAATAATCGTAACTGACAATCACAAGACAAATTAAGTTATCTACCTATGCTTAAAACAAAATGCATAGTTTTGGTGGCCTTGTCAGCTAGATTCTTTTTTATTAAAGTGAATATGTTATTTTTGCATAGTAATTCCTAGGCATTTATAAGAAGTCACATTCTCTATAATGTCATTTCCAATTTTGAAACAGCATGTATAATCTAATTAATTTTGAACCACCAAATATAAGTATATTTGTTTTGGATACATTTATTTTAAGTCTCCATGTTTTACAATATTTATCAAAGCAATCCAACATATGTTGTTCATTTGGGTCTGATGCTAGAAGAACGGTGTCGTTGCATATAAAAAAACAAATAGATTTATCATAGTTTCTAGTCGGTTGTTAAAATCATCGGGATGTACAGTTTTCATTTTGTAGATTATATTCAATATGATTCAGAAATATTGTAACTAGTATCGGTGATAAATTTTCACCTTGTCGTAAGCAAGACGTACATGGAAACAAACTGGTCTTCACTCCATTACATGATACACAATTAAGATTTAATATTTTGATACATGAGACTAGGACCGATTGTGAATAAAAGTAATGCAAGAGGGCCTAGTCTACGTGTTATGAATAACTTTAAAGAATTTTCGGTTATGTTGTTTGATATCACTTTTTGACATAGTCCCAATCGCCAGACATTGTCAAAGGCTTCCTGGAAATCAACGAAAATATACAAATATAATTTCGTTTTTCTACTTTTTCGGAGTTCCGAGAGATGATAAATTGTAAAAATGTAGTCCATTGTAGAATAGCTTTTTCTAAATACAGCTTGTAATTAAGATAATATTGTACTAATTTTAGGTATTTTGTAAAGCGGTTGTTTAATATATCTAATTTCCCGAAACAGCTCAAAAGTGTAACGGGTCTATAATTTTCTGGTTAATTTGGATCACCGTTTTGTATATATAACAAGGGACATATAGGGTCCGCTGCCCAGTCTAATGCGAGTCACTATTGTCTCACCCACGTGTTTTGTCCATGAGAACTGGTCACCTGACTCTGACAGTCGTAAACAAAACAATGTCTTGACCTTCCATCATACGCTGCCATTATACAGTCGCTAGTAAGCTCACAGAGCCAGGCACATGCTGTTTCCGTAGTTACCGGAAATGACGTAAGAGCTGTTCCGGTAGGCGTGACGTCTTCCATTTTATTGTAAAGGTAATTTCTGCTTGCTGGTGCTGCAAAAAAATATTAGCATCAGTGATACATGTGGTACACCGGTAATAAGGAGTCAGGACTTCAATCGTTCTGTATCCTTACGAACATACCCGGATTCTCATGGCAAACACACCCGGAATCTTATCTGTCTGTTGAAGTGTATTCGTGCCAATGTCTGAAAATTTTCATCTACGTAGATGATACTTTCATCTACGCACACTTGCATACACTCACGTATATACGTTAATATAAGAATCATCTACGAAGATGACACTTTCATCGACGCACACACGCACATATATATGTAAATGTAAGAATCATCTACGTATGTAATACTTCATTTACGCACACTTGCACACACGCACATATATACGTAAATATCAGAATCATCTACAAAGATGATACGATCCCGTTTGCCACCTTTTACGAGATGGATGGGTTGCTGAAGATCAATTCTAGCCCGGATCTTCACAGGTTGTTTATTAATACTGTGAATATAGCTTACGCGATTGTTCTTCAGGATTTATAATAGAAAAAAAGTACTGCATTTACTGTAAGATTCCCAACATGGGTACAATGTGTGAAGCCTTTGTCTGGTGTCTATAGACGAGTGCAACGTTGTTACATGTCTTCAGCAAGAACAGACCTTTAAAGATCCGGGTTAGAATTAGTCTTCAGCAACCCATGCTTGTTGTAAGAGCCGTCTAACGGGATCGGGTAGTCAGGCTCGCTGACTTGATTGACACATGTCAGCGTATCCCCATTACGTAGATCGATGCTCATGCTGTTGATCACTGGATTGTCTGGTCCAGACTCGATTATTTACAGACCGCCGCCATATAGCTGGAATATTGCTGAGTGCGGTGTAAAACTAAACTCACTCACTAACTTCAGAAAGACATTTTCATCAATATCCTTGTCCTGTAATGTTTTCATATCTTATATATTCTTGTATTAACTACCCTGTGCTATCCAAGCCTCTTTGACTATATGAACACACGTCATTTCGAAAATGATCATGTTAAATTTGGGATTACACTCCCTCAGTAAAGTACAGATTCTAGTACTTTTAGTTGGGTTGAGCCCCATCCGGGATTCGAACCAACACTCTCAGAGTCAGGCACCTAATCGCTAGCACACAGTCAGCCGCATAACCCAATAGCTACCGCGGCTTCCAACACAGGATGGGACACAGCCAAACAAAAGTTCCAGAATCTGTACTTTACTGAGGAAGTGTAATCCCAAATATAACATATGTTATTGTTTACTGTACATTTGTTCACGCAGCTATCGACCACTGACTAATACGCTTTGTGGTTTTTTCTCATGGCAAACACACCCGGAATCATATCTGTCTGTTGAAGTGCATTCGTGCCACTGTCTGAAACATTTTCATCTACGTAGATGATACTTGCATACACTCACGTATATACGTAAATGAAAGAATCATCTACGAACATGACATTTTCATTGACGCACACACGCACATATATATGTAAATATAAGAATCATCTTCGAAGATGATACTTTCATCCACGCACACTTGCACCCACATGCGTAAATGTATAAATCATCTACGTAAGTGATACATTCATTTACGCACACTTGCACACACGCACACGTAAATGAAAGAATCATTTATAAAAATTACGTAGATGATACTTTCATCTACGCACACTTGCACACACTCACATATATAGGTAAATGTAAGAATCATCTACGTAAATGATACTTTCATCTACGCATACTTGCACACACATACGTAAATGTATAAATGATCTACGTAGGTGATACTTTCATCTACGCACACTTGCACACACTCACATATATAGGTAAATGTAAGAATCATCTACGTAAATGATACTTTCATCCACGCCTACTTGCATACACATACGTAAATGTATAAATGATCTACATAGGTGATACTTTCATTTACGCACACTTGCACACACGCACACGTAAATGTTAGTTTTCAACATCATGAGCATCGATCTACGCAATCGACCACTGACTAATACACTTTGTGTTTTTTTAAATATCTTATCATGGAGTCAAACATGGTTGTGTCGGGATCTACTAAAATACTTCAACTTATCCAAGGTTCGACATACGTTCGACACAGCGATGTATTCATCACACAGATCATAGTCCATCAAATTGATTAAACCCCTAAAATAACAGCTATACTGGACACAAACGCAAGTTAGCAAGAACTGAAAATGTCGTTTTCACACAAAATGGAAATCGCATTACCAATGTTCATAAATATTATAATGATTACGGTCGGAAAGACCTTAATATATGCGTGTTATATCTTAATGAAATTGGAGAAAAATGTGGCTTTGTTGGGTCGAAATCACATTTAACTGTTCAGCAGGAGTGATAATTGCTACCTACGTATTTCCGGTTCCGGTTCCGGTGGACCAGTCTTGTGAAGTGTTTTTAATTACATATTTTGGCATGTACACCTCACCTATTTTAACACACATTGATGTGATTCCATATTGATCTGATTCCATGACGGCACTCCAGCCTCAGCTAAGAGTTTACTAAGATCTTACACATTACACTGATGTGCAATCTTCGTGACCAACAACTCACCTATTTCACACAACACACCATATTTGGTAGCACAGTTCTTAGTGAGCCACGCCCCCGGCGCGGAACCTGATCCTCTCATAGCAACACACAGCTCGCTGTCGAGGTTATTAGGTTCTGCAGCGGAACTTACAAACCAGTTCTTCCAACACAGGGGCGAGTTGTCTGCCCACCGGAAGTCGCCCGTCTTATAGTCGAGTCCGATCCAGTATTGGCTTTCCGGTCTGGAAACAGAAGTCAATGCTTGAAATAATGCTGCCTGTTTCGACAGAACGTTCGAGAAATCAGATCTGAAGTAGAAATGGCTGTACGAAACCTATGATAAGTAAACAATGGTGAGTTTCTGGTTAGTGTCTGGATGATCTACCTGTAACAGGGCTGACAAAGGCACTACTTTTCACTGCCTAAGGATACGTTTTTTTATATGTTATGGAGACATGTTTTTGCTAATTATAATGTAACATTAATTAACTTTAATTTAATCTGTACTGTCATTCGCTGTAACCTTGTTTATTCAATATATTATTTAATATTATAGACTCGTCTGTGTTTTATTTTGCTGGTTCAGTGGGGACTCGCCCTTTTATCTCATTAATTTGTAAACCGTAACATACAACCATTGCAAAAAATATACACTGTCAAGGCAAAAGTATACCCCGTGTTCACTTTACTTCGAAAGAGTGAGTGAGTGCGTTTAATTAAGTCACTATTGCACTATGGCATTATTTCAGCTATATTGTGACTTGATCAAGTTCTACAGTTAAACAATAATTGTAAATAATATATTTCAAACTAAAACCTGTCAGCAAAGAACAGTAAAATAACTAGATGATCCCAGGTCACAGAATTATAACTAGCCTTTAACCGTAACACCCATCATCATTTTTAACAACACAATCTAAAAAACGGGCTATAGATCCTCGGCAACTGAAAAAAGATCCCCATACTAGGGACAATGGGGACTTAAAAACTTGAAAGAGATAGTGTACAGTGCAAAATTGCAGTGAACAAATATGAAATCGAAAATGTCCGGCGGATATTGATTATACCTGAGGTCAATAACGCCTGGACAATCACGTGATATACATATTCTTTCAGTTGGTAAACTGAGATATTTCTTATGATGAATGTTTTGCAGCTGCCAGTCAACTCTGTCATAGTACAGGAACTATACCACTTTCAAATTAGAAATCTTGATGCATACCATTGTTAAGAAAACATCCATCATAACAAGAGTACGCATTTAACGATTATTAATACACGAATTCTGGTAAATGAATATCATATTCTTTTGTTATTAACTTCCGGTAGATAGTGCCGACCTTGTTGACGAAAGCAATCTCTAATGTTGTCGTTTAAATCGATTATCTGATGGCGAAATGATGTAGCCTAGAGAAACATTATGTTCGTTCAATATTTCTCAGGTTAGGCTCTGATGACAACGTATTGATATAATTGATCTCACAAGGATTACTTATATCTTTAGATGTTAAATCTTTTAGTAGTTATTTATTACCGAATTACAAGAATAGCGTCCCCCGTTTGGCACGGATAATGCATGCTCTCATGAGGAAACATTCAGTAATATTAAGTATTATTAATTTAATCATATTCTGATTCGGAAGAATAACTATATCTGGATGAACAACTTCTTTATTACAGGGATATGGATAGTCATTAAAAGAAGTTTGTTCCCTCCAAATTGCGTGTGTCACTGGTTGCACACGAGTGACCAACGCGGCTCACATCCGTGTGCAACGCGTATCACACGGGCTTCACACGCGTGGCCAACGGGTTCCACAAGAGTGAGCAACGCGACTCTCACGGGTTGCGCCACGCGTTGGACATTCGTGTAAGGGGAATGAACTTTTGGGCAGTAGTGTACACCTTTGTGTTTACTACATGCTTCACTATCCCTATCCCTTTGCCCCTACTTCTAAATGCCTCTCAAAGAAGTCATATTCTGATTCGTTCTTTCAGAGTATGTCGTTCTGCAAAACCATAGTGCACGAATGATTTGGGTTTGGTTTGGTTGTTGTGTAGCGCAGAACTCAGCAATATTCCAGCTATATGGCGGCGGTCTGTAAATAATCGAGCCTGGACCAGACAATGCAGTGATCAACAGAATGAGCATCGATCTACGCAATTGGGATACGCTGACATGTGTCAACCAAGTCAGCTAGCCTGACTACCCGATCCCGTTAGTAGCCTCTTACGACAAGTATGGGTTGCTGAAGACCAATTCTAACACGGGTCAGTACACAAACAGCAATCGTAGAGCTAAGGTTTGTTTTGAACAAAGGCACCATGGTGAATAACTGGCCTGATTGTAGTAACTCGAAATACCGTGTTGTAATGATATGTGTCTCTTGGAAGGCATGCAGTGGATTGAGGATGGGTGTACTCCGTGCATTAATTGAATACCACCATTTAGATGCGGGTTCGAAATGGTCTTCAGAAACCCTTGCTTGTGAAACAGGATCTGTGATTTCTGAAAACATGTTGGCAACAATGGTCCAAAATATGTTAACGGAAAAGAAGTAACAAATATAGGGGAAACTCACGATGGTCCGAGGGCTGCCAAAGCGAGGCTCTGAGAATAGGGTGACGTCAAAACCGGAAGTCTCATGCCCTGAGACTGGCAGAAAGTGATAGCTTCGTCATATTTGAGAGTTCCGGGAAATTCTGTTATCGCCAGGCCACCTGAAATTGAGTGAGTGAATAAGTAAATAAGTATGCTTTTACGCAGCTTTCGGCAACATTTCAGCAATATCACGGTGTGGAACACCAGAAATGGGAATGAAACTGTACCCATGGAAGGAATGGAACCATAGTTTAGGCGTGACGAGCGAAAGCTTTAACCATAAGGTTACCCCACCCGCATCCTCCTTGATGAACGATGGTACACTGCACCGTGCTATTCATCTGTTTCGTATAACATCAAGGAGAAGGGGTGCACATCAATCATGAAGTCCAAACGTTAGGGGGAAATGTTCCTCAGGGAAAAAGATATTGGGGGAGATCCCTGACCACTGCACTTAATCATCTGTAAACACGGAAACTTTTGGGCCCACCCTGTCAGCGCAGGGTTGAAAGGTGCGTTTACCCTTTTGGTGAACAACTGGTGTCACTGCTGGTTTTCATTGATATACTACCCATCAAAAAGTTTAGACTCACTAGTGTAAATGTAGCCACTTACCTCAGTCAACTGTTCTATACTAGATAGTGCAAAATATTCCATACTGTTTAAAGTACCTACTGTTTACACATGAACTGGTGTTTGTAAAACAAATTTGCAACGTCGAAAAGATTATTGTCATGAGTTCAATAAATGATGAAACTCAGTGAAAACTGGTGAATTCTTAACCACCCTTTCACCACAACACAGCGGTTCACCTGTACGATATTTGCACATGCTTTTCAGCAATTTGATGCATGATCCTCGTGCAATTCATCTGTATAAGGTTTGCAGTTGGCTCCCCAAGTTAGTAGAGAAATTCATCGTCGATGTAACCACATACATATACATAACATATCGTGAGTGCTTTAAGTGAGTCTAAATTTTTGAGGGTAGTATATATTAATATTTTCGGAGTCACCTTATCCTTTCCACCAAGGGAATGTTTCTGAAGATGGGATTATATATTCTTTGGCACTGGCGTTTCATATCTGTTGACATTATTCTGCCAAGTGTATGATTCCCGGGTGCTACCAGTAGGACAGGGCCTGTCTGCTGATGTCATTACTCATTTTCAGCTTGGTTAACACATGTGATCATCGTATCCCAATAGCGTAGATCGATGCTCATGTTGTTGATCACTGGATTGTCTGGTCCAGACTCGATTATTGACAGACCGCCTCCATATAGCTGGAATATTACTGAGTGCGGCGTAAAACAACCAACCAAACAACCAAACTCCGGTAGAAGGGAGCATGTTGAGTCGCCCCTTAGGACAAGCATAGGTTGCTGAAGACCAATTCTAACACGGATCTTTACGGGTAATCTAAAATATCAATGTATACAATGGTTACTCAAGCAGTATTGATCCTAGAGTGGCTAGGACGTTCTTACTGACTACCGACTGACTACCGTTGTAAAAAAGTCAATTGCAAAACAGGACATCTATTTGTCAAAGTTGTCAGGAAAGGAGTTGTTTAGCATATACATAACATGGACTGTAAGATATATGTATGCTCTTGCAGCTTTCTCACGTATAGTCTCAGTGTATTTCTGACCAGGTAATAATTTCTTTCTCTGTGCATCACATACAGCTGAAGTCAATGGTAACGTATACTCGACGTCACTAATGAAGGGTCAAGCTATTGGTGACACTATTTCTTAAAAGTTGTAAAATCTTCGTTTTTGTTTGAAATATTCGATCACTTTGTTTTGTTTACCACGCATATCTTTGATTATGAGACCCTCGCATAATCTTTCGGCCATTGTGGCTGATGACGTATGAAGGGATAAATTAGCTATATATCATACATGTCAGAAACTGCGCGCGCGCACCCACACACACACACACACACACACACACACATTGCAAGACGCCGTTTCGCTGTAATAAGCTTGGAGTGCAAATACAACGCAGCTTGATCATAACGTCAAGGTATATGTTTTCAGTTAGACTATACAAATCGAACAATAAAATGTAAGTATTTGATACACAAGGTAAAATAAATATCCATATTCCGTGTTATGTATACAGAACGTAACGCTGAACTCTATGCACACACTACACCCAGTCGACTATCGCGAGTATGTGTGAAGAACGGAATCGATGTTTCCATGCTACGATTGTTCAGAATAACATCCCCACGAGGACCACGGAACCATGAACTAATGTAGCAGTAAGCAAATACCTGGCTATGTTTTGTGTAATTACTATAGTGAATACTGGCTAAAACATACACAGTCAATAAATAACTTGGTCATACATTCTTCCGCATAGATGCATTTGTGAGTGCACCCATCGTATTACGCTTCTCTATTGCATTACTGTAAGTGCAACTCATTGTCTTCGTGCCTATAGTGTCAGGTTTGCCGATGATCAAGAATGGATTACCTTTGGCCTTGACAGTGTTTACAGTTAGGGTTTTGCGAATGAGAAGCAATGTGCCTACAGATGAACATTCCAGCTAGATCTATGGATTACCGAGGTTTCACTGGTTTGTTGTCTAACGCCGCTCTCAGCAATATTCCAGCTACTTGGCGGCGGTCTGTAAATAATGGAGTCTCGACCAGACAATTAACAGCAGGCGCATAGATCTACGCTATTGGGATACGTAGACAAAAAAATGTCCAATGCAATTCCTTATTTTGACTTGTACCATAAGTTCCCGAATTTTTTCAGGTGAACAGTTGACTAGATTCACCATATGTTTATGACGAATGCCACCAGTGAGGCATGATTCGCTCATAATTCGCCAACACCTGGTGTCATCACTATTCCATAGTGATTCATAAACACATGCTCTGTCATCGCATCGCATGGTGACAATCTCTAGATCATTTGGTCCTGACTCGATTGTTTACAAACAACATCGTACAGCTATAATAATATATATATATGGTGCTGAATAATGGTGTTGAAACATATATACTCTCTCAAAAAAGAAACGCATCACGACATTGGAATTTTGATTCATCCATGTATTGGTACAGGGAGGAAATTACAAACATGTTTCATTTATTTATTATTTCCATGATGTTTTTTGTCTGAAAACATCACATTCAAACGCATCGAGCATGAAATACCTGTATGTAACCGCATGATTTTGAGTGGTTGCATGCAGTGTCACAGAACACATAATGCACGAGTAATGCACGTGAAACTTGGGACTCACATCGTGTCACTGATGGGTATAAAAGATTGATCACTGTTTTTTTATTAGTCACTTTATTTGAGAGTTTCTAAAGAATTAAAAATGCAACGACTCAGCCGCGCTAATCGAAATATTGCTATAGGGCTTTTGGAAGCAGGACAGACTCAGCATGCAGTTGCCCGTCGTATGAACGTACACCAGAGCACGATTTCTCGCCTCTGGGAGAGATATAACCAGCAGAACTCCGTCGAGGACAGACCTATAAGTGGACGACCCCGAGTGACCATAAGAGCCTAAGATCGGTACATCCGGGTACACCACCTACTTCATCGTACAGCTACAGGCACCAGTACCACTAGACACATACCCGGATTACGACGAACGATTATCCGCACAGACTGCCAGGAACAGGCTTCGAGAGGCGGTTTTGAGAGCACAAAGACCGTACTTTGGTCCTGTGCTACGTCATCAAGGACTGGTCAGCTCGGAGTCAGTATAATGTGTCTGAGTGGGGCAGGGTGGACTGCAATTCAGCAACATCAGATCCAGAGACTGATTCGTTCGGTGCAGAGCCGATGTCGCGTAGTACTGAACGCCAGTGGTGGTCACACTAGGTACTAACTTCAGCGCCACCAAGCGTCTTTGTGGGATTCTCTATCTGACTTTTTCCGAGCCCCTACCAAACACCGATATTGGGACATTTCCTATGCGAAGTTTCATTGCATTTCGTTGATTATTAAAACCAATACAATGTATCATAATAAAGAAAACAAATTAAAGTACTGTCGGAAATAGAAAAAAATAAATAAAAAATTTACATTTACATCTACAATTTATGAAGTTAATATGTGAAAGTGTGAAATATCTGTTAAACTAAGTTCGGCCTAACTACAGTCTCAGTGGTGGGGAGATAGGAAACGTGAAAAAAGGACTTTACTGAGGAGAGATTAGTGCAGAAATGAGCAATGAGACTTATTTAGAACAGACACTGACTTTATGCAAATTAGTGTGCGATGCTATTGTACTTCAAAGGACACTTCTTAAATGCCTATTTTGAAACTAGACTTAGCTTCATTATAAACGATAGCTGACGTAAAAAATACTAACTTTAATACTGAAACTATTAAGGATGTAGCTACAATGGAGCCTCACTATCACTATAAAAACAAACATGTAGGAGGGGTCGTCTCAAAAGCAAAACCAGGACGAGTGTCATAGACGGTGGTGTGGGTCGTACGGGGGGATAGAGATATCAGCTAAGATAAGATAATCCTTTGAGGAAATTAAACTGGGGGATATCCAGTCCTGTCGATCTTGGGGTGGTCTTGCCAGCTATATATTTTGAAACATTTAATACGATAGTTGATTTAAGCTTTTCTATGGGTATCATATTGTTTTACATATCTCAACATAAACGTTATGAAAGACGCGTAAGATGACAATGAATCGTTGAGACAAATTCAATACACATGAAAAAAGGATAAAATATCTTTGAGATGACCCCTTGTGCCTGTAGGCAGTACATGCATTTCATGCCAGGTGAGTCGACGTCATACCTGGCTGAGCGACCTAATTGCCATCTATAGTCTGATCTATTGTTTTCAGCAGCTATTCGTATTTTTTCTAAGTTTTGCCCGATTTTACGAGTAAACATGCATTTCTAGATATCCTATTACACATCCCAGTTAGGCCGATGTGGGTTATTTCAACATATGCTACTTGCAGTTGTGTAAATTTTAGGGATACAGAGTAACAGCCTAAAAACAGTTTTTTTCCTATTTCCGACAGTACTTTAGTTCGAATTCTTATGTGCTTTTCTTTTTTGAGAGAGTATATATGCTTGGGATATATAGTCTGCTTGCAGTGAAAACGTA